CCGGTAAGACACGCCCCCTTCCTTCGCCCCGCGGCGGGCCCAATCAAGGAAGAGGAAAAACATCGAAGGAAGGAAGGAAACAGAGAAGGAAACATGGAAGCAAAGAGTGAAGGAAAGAAGGAAAGAGGTAGAGAAGGAAGAAAAGAGAGAAAGAGGAAATGAAGAGGGATGGAAAGAAATGGGTAGAGAAAGAAGGAAGGAGATAAGGAAAGAAAAGGAAGGAAAGAGGAGCGAAGGAAGAAGAGAAAGAAAGAGAAAGAGGGGGGAAGGAAGGACAGACAAAAGGAAGAATGGAAACAAAAACCAAAGGAAGGAAGGAAGGAAAGAGGCAGAGAAGGAAGAAAGAGAAAGGGAAGGAAAAGAAAAGAAAAAAGGAAGAAGGAAAGAGGAAGAGAAGGAAGGAAGGAGAGAAGGAAAGAAGAAAAGGGAATGAGGGAAAGAAGGAGAGAAAGAGGGAGGTAAGGTGGGCCACAGCAACGCATGGCAGGGAAAGGGGAGGTAGGACTCCCAAGACCCAACATAAAGCACGAGAAGGGTTTGGTAAGCAATGGGAAGGAAGAAAGGAAGGAGGGAAGGCAGGAAAGAAAGAGGTACCGAAGGAAGGAAGAAGAGAAAGTAGAAAGGAAAGAAAAATAAAAGGAAGGAAAGGCAGGAAAGAGGTAAAGAAGGAAGGAGAAAAGGAAATAAAAAGTGAAAGAAGGAAGGAAACAGGGAGGGAAGAAAGGAGGCAAAGGAAGAAAGGGGGAGGGAATGAAGGAAAGAGAGAAGGATGAAACCAAGGAGTGAAAGAAGGAAAGAAAGAAAGAGGTAGAGAAGGAAGAAAGGAGAGAAAGGGGGAGAAAAAAGGGGGAAGGAATAGGTAGGTACCTCTCTTTCATAATACTCCAGATATCTACCTCTACTTTGAAAAGATTTACTATAGGCCACAGCAACGTGTGGCAGGGTACAGCTAGTGTAATATAATGGACTGGTTGCCCTGACACGACAAAGAAAATCAAATTGTGAAACATTCTGGTCCTGTTTCCATGAAAAGGGCTTGAGTTTGCTGCCGGCTTCCCCTTCCTCTCTGCCTCCTTCGCATGAATGGAAGCCATCTGCAGGAGCATAAATCAACCCAGATCAAAACCAGGCCTCCGCCGACCCAGCCAGAGAGGGAGTCGAAGGGAATTCGCACTTTTTCAGTGAATCACAAAAAATAAATATATATATATATATATTTAAAAACGGAGAGTCAGCAGGATCGGTATGGAAAATGGATGTGGAACCATCCAGGCGAGGTTTTCCCCAAGTCAGTAGAACAGGCACCCCTTTTGGGATTTTTTCCAGTTTCCTCCTTGAGCTATTTATAGATCCCGAGTAAACTGGAAGAAGGTTTCCATTGAATTTGTCGTGTCAGAGCAACCAGTCCATTATATTACATTTCTAACAGAACAAAGCAAACAAACAGAAAAATACAAAACTTGTGAGTTTGGTAGTTGGTTAAATGTCCTTTGACCAGTATCTGGCCACTTCGAGTGCTTCTGGTGTTGCTGCAAGAAGGTCCTCCATTGTGCATGTGGCTGGGCTCAGGTTGCATTGCAGCAGGTGGTCAGTGGTTTGCTCTTCTCCGCACTCGCATGTCGAGGATTCCACTTTGTGGCCCCATTTCTGAAGGTTGGCTCTGCATCTCGTGGTGCCAGAGCGCAGTCTGTTCAGCGCCTTCCAAGTCGCCCAGTCTTCTGTGTGCCCAGGGGGGAGTCTCTCATTTGGTATCAGCCATTGGTTGAGGTGCTGGGTTTGAGCCTGCCACTTTTGGACTCTCGCTTGCTGAGGTGTTCCAACGAGTGTCTCTGTAGATCTTAGAAAACTATTTCTAGATTTAATTCGCTGACGTGCTGGCTGATACCCAAACAGGGGATGAGCTGGAGATGTCTCTGCCTTGGTCCTTTCACTATTGGCTGCTCCTGAGGATGTCAGGTGGTGCAATACCGGCTAAGCAGTGTAATTTCTCCAGTGGTGTAGGGCGCAGACACCCTGTGATAACGCGGCATGTCTCATTAAGAGCCACATCCACTGTTTTAGTGTGGTGAGATGTGTTCCACACTGGGCATGCATACTCAGCAGCAGAGTAGCAAAGCGCAAGGGCAGATGTCTTCACTGTGTCTGGTTGTGATCCCCAGGTTGTGCCAGTCAGCTTTCGTATGATATTGTTTCTAGCACCCACTTTTTGCTTGATGTTCAGGCAGTGCTTCTTGTAGGTCAGAGCACGGCCCAGAGTGACTCCCAGGTATTTGGGTGTGCGCTGCAATGCTCCAGTGGGATTCCTTCCCAGGTAATCCTCAGAGCTCGGGATGCTTGTCTGTTCTTAAGGTGAAAAGCACATGTCTGTGTTTTAGATGGATTAGGGATCAGCTGGTTTCCCCTGTAATAGGCAGTAAGAGCACCTAGAGCTTTGGAGAGCTTCTGTTCAACCATCTCAAAGCTCCCTGCTTGAGTGGTGATGGCACGATCATCAGCATAGATGAAACTCTCTGTCCCTTCTGGCAGTGGCTGGTCATTTGTGTAGATGTTGAACATGGATGGAGCAAGCACGCTCCCCTGAGGCAGGCCGTTCTTCTGTTTCCGCCATCTGCTTCTCTGGCCCTGGAACTCAACAAAAAAGCTCCTGTTTTGTAGCAGGTTTCCTATGAGGCGGGTGAGGTGGTCGTCCTTTGTGATATTATACATTTTTCTCAGGAGGAGGCGGTGGTTTACGGTATCATAAGCCGCTGACAGGTCTATGAAGACAGCTCCTGTGATCTGCTGCCTTTCAAAGCCATCTTCTATGTGCTGAGTCAGGTTCAGCACTTGCGATGTGCAGCTTTTGCCTTTCCTGAAGCCAGCTTGCTGTGGAATCAGACAGGGGTCTATTTTTTTTTACATGTTTCACGATGCCAGGAAAGAAGAGGCAATGGGAGCAGCCTGCAAGGCCATTGGGTTCTCATGACCCAGTCGGGCAGCGGTTCTCGTCCTTCCCAATGCCGCGATCCTATAACACAGTTCCTCATGTTGTGATGACCTCCAACCATAAAAATACGAATGTTGCTACTGTTATGAATTGCAATGTAAATATCTGATATTAATTCACTAGAATTTGAATACTAGTGGGGTTGGAGGGAGGATTGATTCTGTCATTTGGGAGTTGTAGTTGCTGGGATTTATAGTTCACCTACCATCAAAGAGCATTCCGAACTCCACCAATGATGGAATTGAACCAGTCTTGGCACACAGAACACCCATGACCAACCTAAAATACTGGAAGGAGTTTTGGAGTTGTAGTTCACCTACATCCAGAGAGCACTGTGGACTCAAACAATCTGGACCAAACTTGGCACGGATACTCAATATGCCCAAGTGTAAACACAGGTGGAGTTTGGGGAAAACAGACCTTGACACTTGGGAGTTGTAGTTGCTGGGATTTATAGTTCACCTACAATCAAAGAGCATTCTGAACTCCACCAATGATGGAATTGAACCAAACTTGGCATACAGAACTCCCATAACCAACAGAAAATACTGGAAGGCTTTGGTGGGCACTCACTTTGAGTTTGGGAGTTGTAGTTCATTTTAAAAATAGAGCGTGAATGGACCCTTTTAGCCACTGAACCCTTGAATATTTTTTTTAAAAAAGCAAAAGGGAGTTGTAGTTCATCTACACCCAGAGAACACTGAGGACTCAAACAATGATGGATCTGGACCAAACTTGACACAGATACTCAACATGCCTAATTGTGAACACTGGTGCAATTTGGGGAAACTAGACCTTGACATTTGGGAGTTGTAGTTGCTGGGATTTATAGTTCACCTACAATCAAACAGCATTCTGAACTCCACCAATGATGAAATTGAATCATACTTGGCACACAGAACTCCCATGACCAACCAAAAAGACATGAAGGGTTTGGTGGGCACTGACCTTGAGTTTTGGAGCTGTAGTTCACCTATGTCCAGAGAACACTGAGGACTCAAACAATGTTGGATCTGGACCAAACTTGGCATGGATACTCAATATGCCCAAGTGTAAACACTGGTGGAGTTTGGAAAAAACAGACCTTGACGTTTCAGAGTTTTACTTGCTGGGATTTATAGTTTACCTACAATCAAAGACATTTTGAACTCCACCAATGATGGAATTGAACCAATCTTGGCACACAGAACTCCCATGACCAACAGAAAATATTGGAAGGGTTTGGTGGTCATTGATCTTTGGAGTTGTAGTTCACCTACATCAAGAGAGCCCTGTGTTCTCAAACAATGATGGATAGGGACCAGACTTGGCACGGATACTCAATATGGCCGAATGTGAACACTTGTGGTGTTCTGTATTAGACTGTCATCCGTCTTGAGTCCCCTCAGGAAGACAGGGAGGAATCTAAAGTGTGTTGTTGTTGTTTATTCATTCAGTTCAGTTTATTCCCTGTTGACCGTCACCACCCCCAGCTCCTTCAAGGTCAAGCCAGTCACTTCAAGGATCCCATCCATCCATCTTGCCCTTGGTTGGCCCCTCTTCCTTTTTCCTTCCATTTTCCCCAGCATCGTTGTCTTCTCTAAGATTTCTCGGTGTTTACATTTGGGCGTATTGAGTATGTGTGCCAAATTTAGTCCAGTGAATGAAAAATACACGCTGCATCTCAGATATTTACATCACGATTCGTAACAGGAGCAAAAGTAGTGTTAGGAAGTAGCAATGAAAATTATGTTATGGTTCCACAACCTAAGGAACGGTCTTAAGGGGTCAGAAACACTGCTTTATTAAAGGATGCTTTGCCGGGATTTTGTTGTCCGGCTGAAGCTAGCCCAGGACTGCGGTCAATCTAGAAGGGGCCCAGGGCAGTTCAAGTGTGACCCTAGTCCTATATTATCCTATGGCGTGGAGGGCAAGGCTGTTGTCTAAGGGAGGAAGAAAGTGGGGAAGGAGGGAGAGGGAAGGGAGGAGGAGAAAGAGGAGGAGGAGAGGAGGAGGCTCTGCTCCCGCCCCTTGCTTGCTTTCCTCCTGGCCTGGCCGGGCTTCACTCGGCACAGCAGCGATGGTGGGTCGGTTGAGCCTGCCAGAGGTGGCCGGGGAGGCTCTGCCGGAGGGCAAGAGGGGGCTGGACAGCCCAGACTCCGGCCTGCCACCCAGCCCCAGCCCCCCCACACCAGGGCTGGCCAACGGGCTCCCTGAGAGAGACAGCCCACCTGCCTTCAAGCCTTCTCCTCCACCTCTTCCTCCTCTGCAGCCTCTTCAGGTGAGTCTTGCCTTGTCTTTGACATCTTCCACTTCTTCCTATTCACCTGAGAGTTTGGGAAAGTGCCTTCTTTGGCCGGTAGCTCCCAGAAACTCCTGCTCAGTGAGATCTGGAGGGATGGAGGGCTCTTTCCATAGGGGCTCCTTTCTCTCTCATAGGTGAAGGACACATACCTTGAGGCACTTTCTCCTGCAACCTTCCCTCCTTGAGTGTGGTGGGAGCTCCTTCCTTGGAAGCATTAAACAGAGACTGCATAGCTACAGGGGCGGCTCAACCATTACGCAGAGTAAGCACTTGCAGTACACTTGATTTTCCCAGGGGTGCTCTTGGGGGAAAATAGACCTTGACATATGCGAGTTGTAGTTACTGGGATGTATAGTTCACCTACGATCAAAGAGCATTCTGAACTCCACCAATGATGGAATTGGACCAAATATGGCACACAGAACGCCCACAATGAACAGAAAATATATATCAGTGATTGGTTGGGGGGGGGGGTGGTCCCGAAATACTACTTGCTTACCATTGAAAATTACCTAGGGCCACCTCTGCATAGCTATAGACCAGTGGTTCTCACTCTTCCTAATGCCTTGACCCCTTAATACAGTTCCTCATGTTGTGGTGACCCCCAACCATATCAGTTGTACTGGATGGGCCTTGGAGTCTCTTCCAATGATTCTAGGTAACACTTGAAATCCGTAGATCAGTGGTTCCTAATCTTCCCAATACAGTTCCTCATGTTGTGGTGACCCCCAACCATATCGGTTGTACTGGATGGGTCTTGGAGTCTCTTCCAAAGATTCTAGGTAGCACTTGAAATTCCTAGATCAATTGTTCTCACTCTTCCTAATGCCGTGACCCCTTAATACAGTTCCTCAAGTTGTAGTGACCCCCAACCATATGAGCTGTACTGGGTGGGCCTTGGGGTCTCTTCCAAAGATTCTAGGTAGCACTTCAAATCCCTAGAACAGTGGTTCCTGATCTTCCTAATACAGTTCCTCATGTTGTGGTGACCGCCAACCATATCAGTTGTACTGGATGGGTCTTGGGGTCTCTTCCAATGATTCTAGGTAGCACTTCAAATCCCTAGATCAGTGGTTCCTGATCTTCCTAATACAGTTCCTCATGTTGGGTGACCCCCAACCCTATGAGTTGTACTGGATGGGCCTTAGGGTCTCTTCAAATGATTCTAGGTAGCACTTGAAATCCCTAGATCAGTGGTTCCTTATCTTCCTAATACAGTTCCTCATGTTGTGGTGACCCCCAACCCTATGAGTTGTACTGGATGGGCCTTGGGGTCTCTTCCAATGATTCGAGGTAGCACTTGAAATCCCTAGATCAGTGGTTTCTAATCTTCCTAATACAGTTCCTCAAGTTGTGGTGACCCCCAACCCTATGAGATGTACTGAATTGGCCTTGGGGTCTCTTCCAATCATTCTAGGTAGGACTTGAAATTCCTAGATCAGTGGTTCCTGATCTTCCTAATACAGTTCCTCAAGTTGTGGTGACCCCCAACCCTATGAGTTGTACTGGATGGGCCTTGGGGTCTCTTCCAATGATTCTAGGTAGCACTTGAAAACCCTAGATCAGTGGTTCCTGATCTTCCTAATACAGTTCCTCAAGTTGTGGTGACCCCCAACCCTATGAGTTGTACTGGATGGGCCTTGGGGTCTCTTCCAATGATTCTAGGTAGCACTTCAAATCCCTAGATCAGTGGTTCCTGATCTTCCTAATACAGTTCCTCAAGTTGTGGTGACCCCCAACCATATGAGTTGTACTGGATGGGCCTTGGGGTCTCCTCCAATGATTCTAGGTAGCACTCATCCCACCAAAAGCCCTCATCTGTTGTGATTGGCTGGCCTCTCAGCCAAGGGGAAAGCTTTTTCTGAGACTCCAAGTGAGGAGGGGAGAGCAGGTGTGCTCAGCTTATGGCAGCATGGTGCACATTTGCAGGCGAGGTAGAGCGTGCGAGGCTGGAAGGAGGCTTGCACGATTGTTCGTGGGATTCAAGGGGTCCTTGATTGTAGGTGAACTATAAATCCCAGCAACTATAACTACCAAATGTCAAGGTCTATTTTCCCCAAACTTCACGGTTGTTCAAATTTGGGCATATGGAGTATTTGTGCCAAGTTTGGTCCAGATCCATACTTGTTTGAGTCCACATTGCTCTCTGGATGTAGGTGAACTAAAACTCCAAAACTCAAGGTCGATATCCACCAAACCCTTCCAGTATTTTCTGTTGGTCATGGGAGTTCTGTGTGCCAAGTTTGGTTCAATTCCATCCTTGCTGAAGTTCAGAATGCTTTTTGAGTGCAGGTGAACTATAAATCCCAGAAAACTGCAACTCCCAAATTGCAAAATCAATCCCCCCCCCCCTCAACCCCACCAGTGTTCAAATTTGGGTGTATCGGTATTTGTGCCAAATTTGGGGTTGTTGTTGGGGTTCAGAATGCTCTTTGATTGTAGGTGAACTATAAATCCCAGCAACTACAACTCCCAAATTGAAAAATCAATCCCCCCCTCAACCCCACCAGTGTGCAAGTTTGGGTGTATCGGGTATTTGTGCCAAATTTGGAGTTGTTGTTGGGGTTCAGAATGCTCTTTGATTGTAGGTGAACTATAAATCCCAGCAACTACAACTCCCAAATGTCAAGGACTATTTTCCCCAAACTCCACAGGTTTTCAAATTTGGGCATATTGAGTATTTGTGCCAAGTTTGGTCCAGATCCATCATTGTTTGAGAACACAGGGCTATCTGGATGTAGGTGAACTACAACTCCAAAACTCAAGTTAAGTGCTCACCAAACCCTTCCAATATTTTCTGTTGGTCATGGGAGCTCTTTGTGTCAGGTTTGGTTCAATTCCATAGTTGGTGGAGTTCAGAATGCTCTTTGATTGTAGGGAAACTATACATCCCAGCAACTACAACTCCCAAATGTCAAAACTTCCAGTATTCAGATTTGGGCATATTGAGTATTTGTGCCAAGTTTGGTTCAGATCCATCATTGTTTGAGCCCACAATGCTCTCTGGGTGTAGGTGAACTACAACTCCAAAACTCAAGGTCAGTGCCCACTAAACCCTTCCAGTATTTTCTATTGGTCATCGAAGTTCTGTGTGCCAAGTTTGGTTTAATTCCATCTTTGGTGGAGTTCCGAATGCTCTTTGATTGTAGGTGAACTAGAAATTCCCACATTGACAACTCCCAAATGTCAAGGTCTATTTTCCTCAAACTCTACCAGTATTTACATTTGAACATAATTGAGTTTCCGTGCCAAGTTTGGTCCAAATCTTTGTTTGAGTCCACAGTGCTCTCTGGATGTAGGTGAACTACAACTCCAAAACTCAAGGTCAGTACCTACCAGGCCCGTAGCCAGGATTTCGATTCGGGGGGGGGGGGGGGCTGAATTTTTTTCAGGGGGGTTGGGGGGGGTGAGTTTCGGGGGGGGGGGGCTGAGTCTGAGTGAAAGAGGGTCTAGCCTAGCAAACCTTTTGTATCATTACCCCAATACCCCCATGCATATGGGATATATTGAGTATGGTGATCAGATCATGATATGAATAAACATAACAGTTTAAATAATGCACCAGTAAGGCCTTTTCGTGAACCACCATGAGAATTTCGGGGTGCCCCCCCCCCCCATTCCATCATTGGTGGAGTTCATAATGCTATTTGATTGTAGGTGAACTATAAATCCCAGCAACTACAACTCCCAAATTACAAAATCAATCCCTCCCTCAACCCCACCAGTGTTCAAATTTGGGTGTATCGGGTATTTGTGCCAAATTTGGGGTTGTTGTTGGGGTTCAGAATGCTCTTTGATTGTAGGTAGATTGAACACGGTGCTCTCTGGATGTAGGTGAACTACAACTCCAAAACTCAAGGTCAGTGCCCACCAAACCCTTCCAATATTTTCTATTGGTCATCGAAGTCCTGTGTGCCAAGTTTGATTCAATTCCATCGTTGGTGGAGTTCAGAATGCTCTTTGATTGTTGGTGAACTATAAATCCCCACAACGACAACTCCCAAATGTCAAGTTCCATTTTCCCCAAACTTCACATTTGGGCATATCGAGTATTCGTGCCAAATTTGGTCCAGTAAATGAAAATACATCCAGTGTATCAGATATTTACATCATGATTCATAAGAGTATATAAAATTAGTTACGAAGTAGCAACGAAAATAATGTTGTGGTTGGGGGTCACAACATGAGGAACTGTATTAAGGGGTCGCGGCACGAGGAAGGTGGAGAAACACTGTCCTAGAAGATGGAAGGAGCAGCCATTCGTCTTGTGTCATCTTTCAGGCAGCTGCTGTGGTGTTGGAAGACAACATTTGCCGGGCAGCTGTTGTGTCGTATGTGTGCCCTCAATCTGATGGAACAGGATTTGGGAATAATAGTGCCGTGGGCAAAGTTACTGTTTTTATTAGCCATGTTATCTGAAACCGGCAGGGGCGGCTCAACCATTACGCGAAGTAAGCCATTGCAGTACAGTTGATTTTGCCAGGGGTGCTCTTGGGGGAAAATAGACCTTGACATATGCGGGTTGTAATTACTGGGATGTATAGTTCACCTACAATCAAAGAGCATTCTGAACTCCACCAATGATGGAATTGAACCAATGTGGCACACAGAACTCCCACGACGAACAGAAAATATATATCAGTGATTGGTGGTGGTGGTGGGGGGGGGGGGGCGCGCCAAAATACTGTGTGCTTACCCTTGAAAATTACTTTGAAACCGGTCTTTCTTGGTTCTTTTTCCCCTTCCACTTTGCTCCCAGCCCCAACCACGTATGTTGGGTGTATGCTTGAAGATTAATTTCCAATCCTCGGGAGGACAAATGGATTGTAATCTGCAAAAGGTCAGGCTAAAATAAATCTGCTAAACCTTCAAGGTGCCACGGGGACTCTCTGTTGTTTTCCCCACACCAGTTGTCTGACTCCTCTGCAGTTTATTGTCAAAGGCTTTCATGGCTGGAATCACAGGGTTGTTGTAGG